CATCCACCCATCCATCCCTACCTCCCTTCTCCCTCCATACATTCTCTCAATCTTTCCATTTTTCCTCCCTCCTCTCTGGTCCTTCCCCGCTTTCTAGTCCTCCCTCAATCTATCCATCCCTCCCTTCCTCATTCACTCCTTCCATCCATCCATCCACCCATCCATCCCTACCTCCCTTCTCCCTCCATACATTCTCTCAATCTTTCCATTTTTCCTCCCTCCTCTCTGGTCCTTCCCCGCTTTCTAGTCCTCCCTCAATCTATCCATCCCTCCCTTCCTCATTCACTCCTTCCATCCATCCATCCACCCATCCATCCCTACCTCCCTTCTCCCTCCATACATTCTCTCAATCTTTCCATTTTTCCTCCCTCCTCTCTGGTCCTTCCCCGCTTTCTAGTCCTCCCTCAATCTATCCATCCCTCCCTTCCTCATTCACTCCTTCCATCCATCCATCCACCCATCCATCCCTACCTCCCTTCTCCCTCCATACATTCTCTCAATCTTTCCATTTTTCCTCCCTCCTCTCTGGTCCTTCCCCGCTTTCTAGTCCTCCCTCAATCTTTCAATCCCTCCCTTCCTCAGTCACTCCTTCCATGCATCCACACATCCATCAATTCTTATCTTCTTATGGAGTTGTGTTCTATATTTATTGTTTTTATTTCATCTTCAGGTACTTGGCCTTGAATGGCTAGTATCCCTTCACAACAACAACCTGAATGGTATTCTGGCAGATGAGATGGGCCTGGGTAAAACCATTCAAACCATTGCTCTTTTTAGCTATTTAATTGAAGTGAAGAGACTAAATGGACCTTTCCTGGTCATCGTACCACTGTCGTAAGTAAATGAGTCTTTTTTTTTTTAAATTTCTCTTGCATTAGAAGTAGTCTTCTCTGCTATTAACCTATTATGGATGAACTGTTTGAATTTTTCTCTTTGTAAATATAGCTGTGAATAGTAGGTCTTTTTTTAGCTTGGATGCAATTTTTATCCCATTTCAAACCATGTGTCAATGACTATAAAATTATTTAGCCAATCGAATTGCTTGTTTAAGTCGTATTCATATTCCTTCTCATGCACAACGTGGTAAATAAAGCACAAAACTAGACCCTGGCAGGATATATACCATGATGTTCTGTAGTAGAATATACCATGGTAGACGTGGTTAATAATGCACATAGCTAGACCCTGGCAGGATATATACCATGATGGTGTGTAGTAGAATATACCATGCTTGATGTGGTTAATAATGCACATAGCTAGACCCTGGCAGGAT